TTACAATTAAATGACAGAAAAGCATGGAAACACTGAAAACTATTTTTATGGACCAATTTTTATAAATTATTACTAACAAATTTGAAAAGAAAATATCTAACATTCAAAAAATGAAAAACAATTTGTATATATAAGTAGTAATCAATTATCTATGAAACTTAAAATGTTAAAAATCAATTATTATACCTTAAAAGCGTGAGACTTTGTTCAATTTAAGAATTTACATTTTAGCGAGTAATAGTTAGTGATCATCTTAACGACATAAAAGGTAAAGTTTCTCTACAATGAACATGATGAACCATAGTTGAATGATATTTGGTCAGTTGCAAAATCCACTGCTAGTCACAAATCAAAGCTAAGAAAATATTATCTAACGGACAAGCAAAGATAATCTTTATTAGTACATCTTCAAGCTTAGATGTAAATGATTAAGATTGAATAAAAGTTTACAGTATCAATCAGAAGAAGGAAAAGAAGCACATCTTGGTGTTGTCTTATGGCTAAGCAAAGTCTTGAGCTGAACCATTTGGCACTCAAGTTTTAAACCCCATTGCTCACTTTTTGTTTTTATTGCTCGCATCACTCTTGAAAACTCCACAAACCCTTTGTTCCCTCTCTTTATTTGCGGATTCTCCAACCTCGTACTCGCTGGTGAGCTAAGCGATCTCTCTAGCTTCTTTGGCTTCAATATCATCCTATTTCTGTCACCTTCTCCTTCGAATACAGATAGCTTCTCTTCCAAGAAAAGCCTCGCCTCAGACAACTTCATTTGAACTCTCTCTTCTCTCAAAACCTCTGCTAACTTATGCATCTGTCTCTCTTCCTCAAGCTCTAGTTTCATCCGAACAATCTCTGATTTCTCCGAAGATCTCTCTTTTAAGATCCGCTTGTATTGCAGCTCCTCCTCTTCTCTACCTATTCTCTCTTCTTCCACATCTTTGGCCAGCTTCTTGTTCATCAACTCTGCCCGTTTTCGAGCTTTTCTCTCGTAGTCCAGCTCTGCTTTCAGTTCCTTGATCTCCACTCGAGCTTTGTCTAGTTCAGATTCCATGAAAACCTTTATGAAATTCAGATCCCAAATAAAAGCCTTGCGTTGTTGGTGTTGATGATGATCTTGAGACTGTGAACAACAGTAGTAAGGGTTCTCATAAAGCTTCCAGCTTTTGCAAACCGAGCCCATTATATCTTCTCGTACGCTGCTTGTATCGCGATGATCTGGAGTAGAGATTCTGGTCATTGTCGTCTCATGACTCCTCTCCTTCTTCATATCTCTCACCTTCTCTAGCTTTAGCTGTAAAGTAATGAGCGATAAAGGAAAAAGAAAGTAAGGGTTAGTCTATTATCACTTTAGAAGTGTGTTGTAAAGTTTATCAGATTCAATCATTCTAATTTTTTAGATAGTACAAGAAAAGTAGAAGAAACAGAGAGGCTGTGTTATTATTGAGGTAACTAACAATCATAGTTTAAAGGTGAAAGTAATGTTTTGTGGTAGTTTTTATCAAGATTGTTTGTTGGGCCAACAACTTCCCTGTGCTTTCAATGAATCACCTCCCAATCACATTTCTTGGTGCTTTTCTTGTGGCCCATTCAGACATTAATGTCTCATTTGTTCCACATCTCCTAACTTGTCTCTCTCTCTCTATCAACTATCAAAGTACTATATTCAATGCTCTTTCATATTATGATTCTGAATCATATGGGAATGTGAAAATATGATTCAATA